AAAAAAAAAAAAAAAAAAAAATTTAAATGACGAACTGACATACGGGTAAATATAACCAAAGTTAATCAAATCAGACGGCAGGGAGGACAGACGGTCAGTTCCAATTAAATATAAAAGATGATTTTCCAATAGTCCAGTTAATAGTGTCTTTAGCCCTCGGTAGATATGATGAATAGTGTCTCTAGCCGTTAATAGTGTCTATAGCCGTTATTAGTGTCTCTAGCCGTTAATAGTGTCTATAGCCGTTAATAGTGTCTATAGCCTCCCGTAGCCGGCGGCTTTCTGTCACATCTTCCGCCTCAGTAATGAAACATCTACCTGTACAGGCATTGGTGGTATATGGACGACTGTTTTAATTTTCACATAATCCCGTCTTCATTGAACCGAATGGCAGCCAATTTATATTTTTTCTTGTCCACGAGTTCCATTACCGTGGCTACACTGTACTGGTAAAGAAATCAGGGGCACAATGGCCATTTTAGCTTAATACAAGGACGCTAGCCACTGCTCCTACGAACACGGCTTGTCAATATTTGTTTGGACCAGTAGATATTTCAGAATATGTCAATTTAGTGGTCCGACATGGCCATTAGATTATTTTTTTTCAGTTCGAAAAATACCATTTGGTTTTTTTTTTCAAAATTTTAATGCTACATAATGATTCTAAAAAAAAATTAAAAAATCCAGGTCGGGTTATTACCAATGTTAATGCAGTTGGTGGAAATGTTCATTCTTGTTGAAATTTTCAATTGGACCACTGAATCTGGATATTAGGAAATGGTGGTCTGAATGGCCAGTAAGCTGGAAAGTTTACTGCACAGACTGTTACAGACTTCTCATTCTTAAGACGGGACCAGACCTGTGACCTTTGCGCTTATAACATACAACGACTGTCATTGTCAGGGCCGGACCCAGGATTATTTGAAGGGGGTCCGGTTTTTAGAAATGCCATACCCCCCCTTGGCATTGGGTTCGGGGCCCGCTGAGGGGCCCCGAAAAATTTTGGTATTTTAGACAGCGAATGGTGCTATTTGGTATCCCCCCCTCCTAAATTCGCCACTGATAATCTCGTTGTTGACACAGCCTGTAGTACACCTTTGTTTCCACAGAACATAACTTTTGACGTGAATATTTGAATTTTTCAAAGCTTATTACCGTGACAGTAATCCAACAACCAAATAAAATACAAACATTCTTTATTTTCTGTATATATGAAAATATTAAAAAAAAAAGCTGCAGTTATGTACATTAGGTAGTTTAATTTTATAGTCCTTTTTATAGTCTAATTGCGTTATAAAACCAGGTCCCTGTCATTCAACTTTCTCGTGATATAAATACACTTAGTAAGCTACTTTTCAATAAAGTTTACAAAATTAAACATTTGACAACACAACAGAAATAGAAGATACTTTTTTTTTCGTCTGATAATTACTTTTTGATCAACCCCACTTTATGAACACCATATTTATTTATATATTTTACCCTGACCAGGAAAAATCTAGGATAATATTATGAGATACAAAGTGCGAATAATTGAGGTATAAATTGTAGAAAAGATATTGCGTTGAAGTAAAGTTGTTCGTGTCACTTCTTTCAATCAAGTGTGGTATAAAAATAGAGCAAATGTGTTGACAGAGCACCCACTGAGAGTAATACAAAATAGAAATGATCAGAGTTGCAGCACATCGACTGTTTTCATTTTTCACATACTCCAAGGACTTTCCTCGAGGCGAGAATGTTCCCGGCAGGCTAGCACCATTACAGCGACGACTCCGTGGACGGTCGCTTCAAAATCGGGGAATACTTCCTCGTCTCTTGCTCAAAACTTCTGCGCTTGAGAAGCCGATGGTAGCGAAAGAGATCAAGCAGCTCTTTTCGAAAGCACGCCCCGGTGATGCTGTACAGGAAAAAATTGCTGCAGTAGTTGATGTAGAAGATGGTCCTCGTGATGTAAAGGACTCCTCGCGTGGTCACCAGGTCGGCGAGGCTGTTGGAGCTCCCGTTGAGTGTCTGGTACCTGCTGAAGCACCAGACCGCGAAGTAAGGCAAGTTGAGGGCAATGAAGCAGGTAGAAAGGCCGATGAGAATCAGCGTCATCTCCAGTCTCAGCTTATTCTCCTTCACCACGCAGTGGACGCGCATACCGTTCTTATTCCTCTTGCTACGCATGCGCAGTTTGTGCACCATGATGACATTGAGCACAGCTATAATAAGGAACGGCACCAGAGTGATGGCGAGGCCAAACACTGCATCCAGGACGTTGGAAACAAACTCGTACTCTGGATTAAAGGTACACACCTTGACACCGACCTCCTCCTTGGCGTAGACGCCGCTCAAAATAGGCTTGTACAGGCTGATCACCATGCCAACAGCCGTGTAGGTTAGAATGGTACGCCGTGCATATGCCCGGCTGCAAATCTTGATTTTCTTCAATGGCAGACAGACGCCGATGTAGCGTTCTATGGTGAAGGCGACGATAAGCCAGACCGATATGAACCGCAGGGAATATGAAAAGTACAGAAACATGTGGCATACCCCGTTCATAGCCAGAATATCCAGTTTGATGTTCCGTGGGAGGAACGGAAGGCCACGTGTAGTCCAGTCCAAGAACACGTACACCACCAGAACGAGAATGTCCGAGATTGAGAGCGCCGCCAGGTACTGGCTTGCAGACAGACCGCGCATGCTCCGACTTATGAAAACGTTGAAAGAGAGACTGTTCCCGCATAGGCCTATGACTATTATCGCCGGGGTGAAATAGGCGTAAAATAGACGCCCGTATTTAAACACAAGTGATTGCTCTGCAGAAATTTGGCGACTGGCAAAATCGTCGCTGGAATCTCCGAGGGTGAAGTTGAAGGCCAATAACTCGCATTCTCCCCCCTCGCAACTAGAGTTAGCCAAAAGCAGATCAGAGAAATCCATGACGAAACTGTGGCGACGCCGTGAAGGGTTTCCGCCCCCCAGTAGAACGCTATCGTCTTTCCGTAGACGCTTTCGTCATTCGGTGATGCTTTTTGTAAAAAGCCTTATCTCGACAGCGGTTAACACAACGTTCTTCCGTTTCTTACTGTGATGAATTCGTGAGCTCTCTGTTGATGACTGTCCCTACACGAGCTCTTAGGTGAAGTATTGATTTACGCGATGACCGCTGGTGATTAAGGCGGTGATTATTGCAGTGGAAAGACGCACACCTCTGATTAATTCTTAACGCGGTTTTAAGTCTGATTGCGTGTCGGCAGTGTTCCTCCACAGCTGCTGCTTCCAGATGATCACCGACCTCATGTCCTGTTTGTCA